AATGCTCACATCATATTTTCTTCATCTTTATCTACAAGAAGGAAAACTGTCATGAAGATGCATTTTTAAGGCATCTTGTCAGGTATATGCAATTCCTTTAATGAACTGATGGGAACAGGAAAAACGTCAACAAAAGTATTTTTGGTGCTAATACGCTTATGCTGCTTTTTCCGAGGTGCTCCAAACTCCTGCTTCCATGCTCTCTGTTACTGAGTTACATATATGCGGGCAATGGAGCAAGGAACATGCATTCACTTCATATGCCAACTCGAGTGAAATACTTTTGGGGCTAAATCCCACCCCCAGCACATCCCTATGGATGACTTATGAATCCCTGAGCATAGGTGGGAGGTAGTTAACATGAGCTACCACATTCAGAGCGGTATCCACACAGAATGATAACCAATGCAAGGCCAGACTTCATGAAAATTACACAAATTGCTCAACGTCCCATTTTTAAATTTCTGACATAAAATTGGTGTTCATGTAACTCAAGTATTCAGTGAAGGTTAGATGGAAAATCTGGAAGGAAGATTTAAAACATGTAGAAGTAGAACAAATGAGGAAGATTACTAGGTCCTGTGTATTGAAAAAGACAGATGCTTTCACTTGAGTGATAGCGGACAACCCATGCAGAAACTGAGACAGTCAGCATTATGTGAGCAATAAACTCATACTACAACCATATTGTTATGGTTAACACATGACAATATACTACTTTTCTCATATATTAGATTAATGTTTGTACAGCGCTTTGAAATTGTAAAGTGCTATATATGTGGTAAGTATTACTTTTTCTTGCCTGTTGTGTATTCATGTCTGCTTTATTTGCAGGAGTACAAATTCAAACACTAGCGCTATACAGAATAATTGGTTTTGCTTAAGAACATATGGCCCAATTCTTAAGTTATTATTGAGGTAAAACTTCCACTGACTTCAATGGGAATTTTGCCTGAGTCAGAACAGAGTAAGGACTTCAGGATTCAGCCCATGGTCTTTAACATTATCTGTCTTGTCAGTTCCTAAGAGTGAATGTTGTAGGAATAGTGTCAGAACTTTCTAAGTGAAGGGTCTTTTTAAGACCCCTAAAGAGGTCCCATCAGGCCCTGGCTTTTCTGGTCTTCAAGGCACAATATAAGGTATATTTATTTTGTTTAAGTTTTTGGTTTAACTTTCATGGCCCTGGATTACACATTCCAGTTTCAGGTGCATTCCTTGCCACAGTAGGAGCAGTAGTTTTTAGGTTACCTTTGAGAATGGCTTTCTGTATTTGTATGCATTTAAAAAATATAATTGTGACCATGCCTAGCTGCCAGTGAGATAACATAGGGCTTAAATAATCATAATAAAATAACCATGTCCAGCAGATGTTCTTGCTTTTGTGGACTGAAACAATGCTTTAATTTTAGAAGGAAGGCCCTTTGTGTAAATGTGTATGTCAGGTGTGTTTCTTCTACTATATTCTGATAAATACTAAAAAGACTAGCAGAAAGGAATCCCTCTCTCCTTAATAACTGAAGAAGTGTGTCGGTAACTTTCAATTAATAAAAGGAAATCCCAGAAAATGTAATTGAATGGGAAATGTCCTTATGGGCCATTTACACAGACTCTTGCTCTGATAGGTATAGAAAAGTCTCCCCAGGCTGGTGTGTTTCCCCAAGAGTTCACTCAGAAGGAGGACATGTTTCCTATTGTGTGCCATACAGAATAAGCTATTCACATATACACATTTCTTCTCTATATAACATAAAATTGCTTCTCCTTCAGCAATTAAGGGAATAGATTGCATTCATACACCTTTGGAAAAACCAAGGACAAATCCTTTGTTACAAGGGAGACTTCTTGTCCGGCTCAAAACTGCAGATTAATTGCATTTCAAGGACTAGGTTCTTTCTTTAGAATCATATGCCCTAACGATATTTTCATCTTTTGCAGAATATGAAAATGTGAAATATTTTCCTTTACAGTGAGCATCTCCAAAGCAATTATACATGTCACAGGGCTTGTTTGTTTAGGGTTCTGCCCTACTACTAGGTAAATGGGATGACAAATAGGGAAATCACCATGACTATATAGCACTAATTTGTGGATTATCTCCGTGATTGGCACTTGGGTTTTAGTGTTCCAATATCATTTAGAAAAAACAAAACCATTATTACATTCAGACAGTAAAAAAATCCCATAAACAGCAAATCAAATGATTTTATTAAATGAAAATAATTGCAGAAAGTGAAATGAGAGTATTAAGTGGCAAAGCAAAGCTTCCTACAAGTCCTTTATCCTCTTGTCTCGCTTTAGAAAGTATCGTACATGCTCCATGTTCATATACAAAGGTCTTCTCCTTCCCAGATTTTCCTTGAACTGCACCTTCATCCAGATAAAAGTAAACAAAGCCATATGCGTGCTCTCTCTCTCTCTCTCTCTCCTGTAAGCCCATTTCTGCAGCTCTTTTGCTGCTGCTGTGGCTAGATTTCCTAAATTTCATTATGAGTGCAAATCTCACTTCAATTAATCATATTATCTGTCTCTGACTTGACATTCAGTACCTGAGCTGCATTGTAAAAGCAAAACTTTGTTCCACAGCAACTTTCAGTTTTATTTGCCATTTACAGGAATATTCTACCTTCATTAAGGTATTGTGTCATAACCAAATCTAGATACTATGTCTAGTTTTCAAATGGTGTTTTTATATTTAAAAAGAAAAAGAAAAATTAAGTAGATTTATTTTTTTGGAAAAAATTGACTTGACTCACTAAGCTCCTTTAACCATTTATTTCACCTAAATTTAGGTTGGCTATTTCACAAGCTTAGAGGCTACTCTTCTTCAATATTTTTGCTTAAAAATTATCTTAAAAAATTCAAGGGCAAATTCTGCCCTAATATTCACACATGCAATTCCCACTAATTTATGGTAATGTATCTGATACCAAATTTGACCCTCATGGGGTTTTGAAATTTCAGAACATGAGCAGAAATCTGCATGGACTAATTTAACTATAGTTTTTAAACTAGTTACAATTTTGGATTTTGATGTGCTGGCTTGCACAAAGGCACTGCCATTTGCAGCCAGCATGTTAAGAAGCCTATTTATTATTAAAACGAGTCTCTTACTATTAATTTGTACAGACTCTCAAAAAGCAGTTTTTGTGTAATGGAAATGTGGAATTAGAAATAATAAAAGAGATAGATGTACTGGTACTTGCTCTTGAATTAAATTAATTGTTCTCTACATTTCACCTGCCAATATGACATGACAGTTTCTAGGGTAGGATTGCAATGATTTTACACTGAGAAAAATATGACTACTTTACAAGTGCCAGAGAAATGAAACATGAACCATTCGGCTTATTTTATGCAGTCAGGTTGCAGTATGTCACAGAAGCAATAGCAAAGCAGCACTATGTGCTATCAAGCACTATGTGCTCTACATCCTGGAATTTTGCTTTGAACATGAGATCTTCCCTGGTGATATACTACAGGAAGAAATGAGAGTCAGTAAGATACTGCAGGCACAAATTCCTGATAAAGTTGAAGAAAAGCTGTAAAACCTTTGTCTATATCCAACCATTTTAAATACTAAGAGACGCATACTGAATAGACAGAAAGTAGAAACTTCCAACAGGCACAGGCCCTTATTGTTTTTAGCTTTTAGTTTTGATCAATGTCGTTCTATCACACAAATGACTCACTGCTCGCTTATCTACAGTGTAATCCACACTGGCCTTGTCTTCACTACTAAAAAAGGAGCACTCTTTATCTTAGGGTAACTAACAAGCGTGAGTTACCCCAAGGTAAAAGTGCAGTGAAGACAAAGGCACTTTAGTTTTACTGCAAGGGAAACTAGGTGAGGTCAACCCAGGTGGAGGTGTACATACAGTGCTGACTTTGCCTAGTTTACCTCATGATAAAATGAAAGTGTCTTGTCTTTACTGTGTTTTTACCTCGGGATAGCTCAGACACATTTGTTACCCCTAAAGTAAAGAATGCACCTTTTTTAACCAGCAAAGATGAGGCCACTGATGACATCATCTTGAAGAACCAGTTACTGTAGGGTGTTCTAATATATGAAGATATCAAAGTAACTTTTTTGGTCAGCTGCAAAATTATTAAGGTGAAAATTTCAAAATAAGCTGTCTTCTACTGAAGGGAATACATCTTCTTCACCTAATGTAGAGATTTAGATAATATGGATGAAATATCAAGTGAAGATCTTGAAAGAGCTAATAAATAGGCTATGATGAGACAATTCACATTTTTAATGGAAATGAGTCAACTTTGTGGGTGCAATGTAAACTGAGGAAGTCACAGCAATTTAGGTGTTGCATTTTATACGTAGTTTTTCAGAGTAAAGTAATAGTCTAAGTGAAAACCTCTGCAATGCTCAGCTGCTGTACACTCACTTGCGTTTGTATTCATTATGAGTGAGGTCAAAGTAGTTAATCATCAGTGAGGTTTTAATACTCTAGTGCAGACAAAACAATTAATAGTAAATGAATAAACTGGAGACAAATTCTGCTCTGAGTTACTCCCTTGCAACCCAATTGATTAAAATAGAATTTGCCCCATTATAACTTATGTATTGCATTATAGTGGTTTTGCTTATAGTGTAAAAGGATATATATTCAAGTTTTCTGGTGACCACATATTTTTGCTAGGTTATCAAGAAAAATGTTTTTTGTTGAAAAGTCTTTATTTTAGTAGAGTTTTTAAAAAAGTGATATTTATTTCAATAAGAAACATCATTGTTTCAATTGAAATGCCTGTTGACTTCACTGGGAGAAGGCTTGGGCATTTGGACCTGATTCAGAGTCGTAATTTACTATCTGCAGTTTGTACTTCATAAGTTAGAATTGATGTAATATTGCCATAGATATTGGATAACATTGTTAACTCTTGCAATCTGTTTTTGAAGACAGTTTTTCTTTTCTTTCAGCCTTAAAAAGCAGGTATTTAATAATAAAAATAAACCTCCTAATATGAAATATTATGTTTGCTTTTAGCTATTGCTGGCTGTCACAAGCCTGTAAGTGGATTTTCAGAAGAAAACACGAACTGGAGTGATAGTGTGCCATTGGATTTCCAAGATTCTGTCTCATTGAAGGAAAGAATGGCTATGTATCAAGCAGCTGTGTCCAAAGTAGAGCGCAGCAGCTCCTGTGCTAATGTAAGATATTGCCTTCTATTTAACATCACAATTATCTTCATAATTGTCTTCATAATTTGCTATTTCTGTTTTCACAGGGCCATATTCTGCTCGCTTATTCACAAAAGCAGTCGCACTATTTTGCCCACATTATCTTTATGTAGAACAAAATTAAAAACCTGAATTATGAACACCTACACAGCAAAGTTACCAATTCATTTCAGTCTCTTATGAATAAGAGTTTGCATACCACTGATGTTTTGGAAGGCTCATTTTAATTCACTGGTTGTACAGTTTTTCTTTTTGCTCTTGTATGCACTAAATCTATTAGGAATATTTAAATCAACATAGAAAGGAGAGATTAGCAACATAGCCACTCTGCTAAACCAATTATGATTATAGAAGAATACAGGTTTCTGTACTATTATCAATTTTTATAGTCAGCAAGTAATAAAATTGTATTCAAAATAATGCTTAACTCTGGCTGCTCAAACTATGGAATTTGAAATGACTGCAGTGTTAAACTGGACAATGCTACAGAATCATAAAAAGTAGGACTGGGAGAGACTTTGAGACGTCATCTAGTTCAGCCCCTTGCGCTGAGGCAGGACCAAGTATACCTAGCCTGTCCTTGAACAGGAGAACTAGTGCATACACACACTTCAATTTATATATATTTATAAAATGTAGTAAAATGCTGGACAGCAGAAAGAGAAACAACAGAGAATTGAAACGTGAGGCTGGTGGGAGCTCAGGTATATGATGTTTGGTTCAGTGGCCTGTTCCTTTATCATTAATACCTCAGAAACCTTGCAGAAGGGCACAGACAGAAAGATGATCAAAAAACTACTTAATAGAAGTGAATTGTGATACTTTGGACTTGAGATGCTAAATATTGCACTCTATTTACATGATCCTTAAAAATATCTGGAAGGAATTAACAGCTCTGAGTATTTTTTTTAAGTTTCCTAAATGATTTTCTCCTAGTAAAAACCAGAGAAAATGGCAAACTACTTTTTACCATTTTTATCTTGCCAGGCTTCCTGAGAAGTTCACTTAAACACTTTACAGAGGTCTCACTGATGTAACAACCAGATCCAGAAGAGTATGCTAACATTAAAAGAGTTGATAGGACACAAATATTTGTGGTTTATATAAGGCTCATGGAGTCCTAGAACAAATGCTTGTGGAGTGTCTAGATGAGTATTGAAAAAGGTGTGAGTTAACTCAAGTTAATTGGCAGTCGTGTAAACCAAATTACAGTGGTGTCACAAACTAGTCTAGACATAAATTTATCCTATGTTCTGCTGATCTGTCATATAGCAGCACTAATCTGTATATACAATGTCACACAATTATCTCAGCACCTTGTGAAATTGAGGGAGAACTTTGGATGAGTGAATCCCATTGCTACAAAATAAGGCATACACTTATAATGGTGGGAAAATTAATCATTGGAATAATTTATGAAGGATTATGGTGGGTTCTCATCACTGACAATTTTTAAATCAAGCTTGGATGTTTTTTCTAAAAGATCTGCTCTAGGAATTATTTTGGGGAATTCCTATGGCCTATGTTATACAGGAGGTCAGACTAGAGCAGGGGTCGGCAACCTACAGCACGCGTGCCAAAGTTGGCACGCAAGCTGATTTTTCCTGGCACGCAGTGTGGGCTGAGCCACTCAGCCCCGCCGCCACTCTGGAGTTCCCGCTACCAGCTGCCGGATCCTGCGGGACCTGCCGCGGGTCCAACTCAGCACCTGCTGCTGGCCTGGGGGGAAGGAACCCCAGGCTGGCAGCGGGCTGAGACCCTGGCTGGCAGGAGCCGCCAGCGGGAACTCCAGAGTGGCGGCGGGGCTGAGTGGCTCAGCCCACACTGCGTGCCAGGAAAAATCAGCTTGCGTGCCAACTTTGGCACGCGTGCTGTAGGTTGCCGACCCCTGCTCTAGTCTGACCTCCTGTATAACATAGGCCATAGGAATTCCCCAAAATAATTCCTAGAGCAGATCTTTTAGAAAAAACATCCAAGCTTGATTTAAAAATTGTCAGTGATGAGAACCCACCATAATCCTTCATAAATTATTCCAATGATTAATTTTCCCACCATTATAAGTGTATGCCTTATTTTGTAGCAATGGGATTCACTCATCCAAAGTTCTCCCTCAATTTCACAAGGTGCTGAGACTATTGTGGGACA